CCCTCTCTCTCTCTCTCTCTCTCTCTCTCACACACTCACACACACACACACACACACACACACACACACACACACACACACACAAGGAAGAAGAACCCCACCTTATCCCTTCTTTCCCTTTTTTGTTCTAAGAGGCAACAACGTCATATGACACAAGAATTCAAACCTTACAGATCTATGTTTATATTTTGCTGCTGATTTCTCCTCCTTCCACCATACTGTCCCTGGAGTCTGCTTGTGCATGAATATAATCCGTCCCAGTAAAACTGGTGACTTTATGGTGTATTTCTTCCCTTTTTCACTGAAGAACCTTCAGCTCCCTCCAGCCAAAGACACAGTCCAATCCTTATGCTGAATATGGCCTTGGGGAAACTGAAAACCTGGAAAAATTCTGAGCAATCCAGATCAGCGACAACAAGCAGCCTCTTTGGGCAGCTGCCAGTAGCTCACTGCTGCTTTTGTTGCCTTGGGTCTCCTTTTCCATTGCTCCAACTATCACCAGACAGCCACCACTAGAAACGGCCCAAAACAAAGCTGCTGTGTCAGTGCAGACACAACTAGTAGAAATACATAAGAGGCCCCGATTTAGAACTGGAGACAGACAGTATGAGTCATTTGGCTGTCCACCAGCAGAGGGCAGCATATGCTGTCATGGCCCCACACAATCAGGCTAAGTCCCACACATGAAGTTGTTGTTTAGTCGTTAAGTCGTGTCCAACTCTTTGTGACCCCATGGACCAGAGCACGCCAGGCCCTCCTGAAAAGTCCTTCCCTGTGATACGCCTCAGAAAGAAGTTCATCTCATCTTCACCCCGCCTTCACTGTGCTTTCTAGCAGTCACCTCACATTAAGATCGACCAGGTGTGAATACAAGTTGAATAAATACAGTGGTGCTTCGCTAGACAGTTACCCTGCATGACAGTTTTTTCGCTAGACATTGACTTTTTGCGATTGCTATAGCAATTCGCAAAATAGTGATTCCTATGGGGAATTTCACTGGACAATGATCCATTCTTTGCAAACCGATTTTCGCTAGACGACGATTTTGACAGCTCCCTCCGTGCTTGCAAAACAGGTGTTTTCGGGACCTAAGCTTTGCAAGACAGTGATTTAAACAGCTGATCGGCGTTTCGCAAAGCGGCTTTCCTATGGCTAATCTTCGCTAGACAGGTTTCAATGCATTCCAATGGGGAAATGCTTTTCGCTAGACAATGATTTTGCTAAACAGCTATTTCAGTGGAACGGATTATCATCGTCTAGCGAGGCACCACTGTACATGGGTGAATACAAGCTGAAGCTTTTTTGAAAACCCTGCATACTGCAATACAAATACTGTAGCTAAAAAAAGAAGTCATCTTAATGGGTGGTCGCTAGCACAGGAGAAAAGGAGGAGGAGGAGGAAATAGGGACCTAGCAAAATATTCTATACCAGGCCTACACACGGATTCAGAACTGTCAGTATTGACCAGAGCTTCGAACATTATTATTTTTTAAAAAAAATAACTAGCTAAAATAACTCATTCTTTGTTGCATTATGAGTGAGAGAGATTTGTTCCATTACATTTTTGTTGCCTCTTTAAAAAACAAAACACCTGAATATATAAAAATGGCCAAGAATTACCCCAAGGGATCACTGCCCCCCCCAAAAGCTAATAGCCTGGGAGACTTACTTATAGGTTTTGGTTCTGTCCAACCAAAGGCCAGTGATCAACGCTCCGACCATGCCTGCCACTACAATGGTGAGCCCGATTCTGCCAGCATTCTGCTCTTCTCCCTGCAGCAACAAACAGGTATGCAGTGCAGTCAGGAAATAAAAAGCTGAAGGGTTGAGCAGGTAATTGCAAAATTCTCATTATCTTTCAGTAAATGTCTCAAACTAAATCTGCACACAGGCAGTAGACTCCCTAAGCCTCCATGTAGACAGAACTGCCAACACCGAGAGTCACTGCAATACAGTAGATAAGAATATCTGCATGATACCGAGGCAGAAGTGGTTCAAGTGCCCAGCATGATGCTCCCTGAATGACTTGTGGGTGGATCTAAATATCTTAGACTAGCTTTCCTCCTTGTTGAGAGGACAGCAGGAGATCAGAAAGAACCAGACGTGTCACTTAAGAGCTCAGAAGAATAGTGAAATACGTGGATGGGCCCTCGGGCCACTTTTCTCACACACCCTGGACCCAGGTGTGAGCCACATCTTTACCAAAAATGAAAGGAGGGTTATTTTAAAAACTGTAAATACTGAACAAAGTGCCCCATGATATTCTGATTAGCAAGTTAACTAGGTGTGGACTGGATAGAATAACTGTCAAGCCGAGGCACCATTGGTTACAGCATTGTACTCCAAGAGTGCTTAATGACTCTTTCTCAAACTGGGAGGAGGTAACAAGTGGGGTACCCCCAACACTCAGTTTTTCTTAATGCCTTGGATGAAGGAGTGCAGGGAATACTTAACAAATAACTGGATGACACAGAATTGAGTAGAATAGCTAATATCTTGGAAGACAGAAACGTAATTCAAAAAGATCTTGATAAGCTTGAGCACTGGGTTGTCCAGCAGAGTACCGTGGACACCACACTTGAAGAAGGATGCGAACAAACTGGAGCACATTCAGAGGAGGGCAACAAAGATGTCCAGGGGACTGGAAACCAAGCTCTGTGAAGAAAGACTTAAAGAACTGGACATGTTTAGCTTTGGGGAGATATGATGGCACTTTCCAAATACATACTTGAGAAATTGTCATACAGAGGAAGGGCAAGTCTGCTCTCAATCACCCCAGAGTGCAGGACATGTAATAATGGGCTCAAGCTACAGGAAGCCAGATTTAGGCTGAATATCAGGAAAAACTTCTTAACTGTTAGAGCAGTACAGTAATGGAACCAATTACCTCAGAAGGTTGTGAGCATTCCAAAACTAGGGACATTCAAGAGAAAATTGGACAGTTATCTGTCAGATATGCTTTGATTTGGGTTCCTACACTGAGCAGGAGGTTGGACTCAATGGTCTTATAGGCCCCTTCCAACTCAATTATTCTATGAAATAAAATTTCCAGCAACAATAAGTGTTGAGGTACTGATCCAAAACTTCCCAAACTAGGCAGGGGCCACATGTGGCCTGCTTGCCGTCATCGTCATCATCTTCATCTTCGTCTTCTTCTTCTTAAATATAGCTTTATGTCCTATCTGTACCCCATGCTTTTAAAGCCTGGCTGCCTCTGCATGGCAAAGGCATGCTTTCCTATGTAAAATTTAAATATCAGAATGGAAGGGCAACAAAGACACAGAAAGTAACCACTCTGCTAGTCCTAACGGCTGCTTTTTCACTAGAAACGCTTAAATGACATTGTTTGTGGATCACATTATAGTTGTCCTCTCAGAAAAGCAATAACAGATATTTTTCACACAAGTGGCTTAAATAATTTCTCACTTCAAATCTGATTGAAATGCAAAAAGATGAAATCTATAGTAAATTGTTATGTTACCCAAGCAAGTTAAAAAAAAACCCAAAAAACTGTTATAACATATATAGCCCAGTTTGTCAAATGCACAAAGCACTAGCCAGAATTTCAGGAATGCATAAGGTATATAGTATAGACACAAGGTTGAAGGTGAGTAAGTGAAAAGAGAGATTAAATGCAGTGGGCAAAATCCTCTTGAGTAAATTTATGCTAGTAGAATCTGACAATGTCATCATCCAGTGCCATTTAATTTAAATCAATAGAAAGTTTCCTAACCACCTCTTTCAGGCTCTGAGGCTCTCTGGGAATCCCTTTTGGGCACCTTAGGCTTGTGGTGGTGGGGAGCCTTTCATAGCAATGAATCATAGCTGGAGGGACCTGGACCAGCAGCAGTGATTTTTGGCTATTAAAGGCTCCCTCACCCCTCCATCCTAAGGCTTCCCTGAGAGTCATGGGGAGCATTGGAATCTGAAGATGGGGGGGAGGAAGCTTTCAATTGATTTAAAATGTTTTTATCAGTGCCAAAGGATGACATCATCAGCTTCTGCCATTGCAAATTTATGCCAATAAAATTTTGGCTAGGGGGTCCCAAAATTAACAATTACATTGTTAATCTTTTCAGAGGAAATGCAAAAAAAATCCCCAGATGCAGGTGAGCTGCAGCTGGCAAATGTTTATGCGAAATAATACTTGCTGGCTTTCAGATGCAACTAGACTTTATTGTTGTATCAATAATTATGTCTTAGGTTTCATTAAAGGCAAATATCACTGGTATTGGAAATCAACTCTGAGTGCTCAGTGGAAGGACAGATCCTGAAGCTGAGGCTCCAATACTTTGGCCATCTCATGAGAAGAGGAGACTCCCTAGAAAAGACCCTGATGTTGGGAAAGTGTGAAGACAAGAGGAGAAGGAGACAACAGAGGATGAGATGGGTGGACAGTGTCATCAAAGCTACCAACATGAATTTGACATTACTTTGGGAGGCAGTGGAAGACAGGAGGGCCTAGCGTGCTCTGATCCATGGAGTCACAAAGAATCAGATATGACTTAACGACAAAACAACAACTGATTATGCAGCAAGAGACAATATTCTTAATGTCAATTCAGTACCAAAACAGCTGTAACAGAGAGTCACTTACTGGATAGTTTATCACCACCATGCGGTTCAGCATTGTTGAGAGTGCATAGAAGCAGCCTGTGTTCAAGCCTGCAAGGTAGAGACGCAGCACAGAATTGGTATGCTTATTATAAACAGAAGATGAAGAACTGTTAATTGCCCCCTGACCATCCAATGAGCTCAAAAGCAGATTGGGATATGATATCCTCCCAAATACTTCAGTCACACTTAGATTGGCATCATTCTGTGCACAATCTTGGTAAGATCTTGAAATATTTCCTGTGTACACAGTATGCATATGCATGTACACACACACACACAAAAAAAACTTCCTGTAACTGAGCTGGTTGTCTATGTTTATGAAAATGTAATGCTGAAATAAAAGTATTTAACTGGAGCGATGATGAGGACATTGGTTAGAACAAATGTCATTCATTGATATGGGGTTTTTTATTTATGAAAATGCAACAACATTAAAATGTTGGGACAATGAAGAGTATGTCAGTTTAGAGCAGCTGTTCAGGACACACTCAACAATATCAAAACAGTTCTTTCATCAAAAAGATATAAGCTTTTTCCATGAGTATAGAAACATGAAAAAGCTGGACATTGGTTCCAATACAGTGCAGATTACATCATTTCTACACAGTGTTCTACAAGAGACATCATGAGTAACTGGATATATATATATATATTTAAGTAAAAACAAAATAAAAAGTTTAAAAATGTAAAAAATTAAAAGAACAACTACAAAAGACAAAAACATGGTGGCACCTTAAAAACTGGAGGTTTTTTTAATGTGAACTTTCATGGACAAGTCCATTTTGTCAGACATCTCCACTCTACCCAGATGAATCCAGTGCCTTTCAAGTATGTGTGTGTACACATACATACATACTGTACATGTATACACTAATGATCGTTTACACTGAGTCATCTCAAGTTCACCTGGTAATGCACATTTTTTTACAGCAGCACAAACATTTCCTGCTTATATACCTATCTGGTCGGTGAGGACCACTCTAGGCAATCGTTTACACTGAGTCCCCTCTAGTTCACTTGGTAATGCACATTTTGTACAGCAGCACAAACATTTTCTGATTACATATTTCTCTAATAAGTCACAGACTTGTACTCCAACCCATAGGAACTGCCTCGCCCAAATCATAACATTTTAGTCAAAACACAGGTGTCGGGTCATTCTTAATTGGTGTTCCACAAAATCTTCTTTCTCTCAAGAAAGAACTTAAGCTAGCCATTAGGACCAACTGCACAAAATTCTCAGGATAAACCCAAGTCAATAAACGGTTCTCCACAGTTCCTTGAACATCAAAGTTTCCCAGAATGAAGTTTACCACAGTTCTCACTCAGATGGGGAGAATTTGTATAACCTGCATTTATTACATTTATATTGCATCTTTGTTGAAAAACGTGCCCACTGCCAGCTAATTAGCAAGAAAATAACCAAAAAAGGAGAGTATTATAAAATGTATACTAGAATATAAACAGAAAAGGATAACAGTAGAATATATTAGAATATAAAACCAGAATCAGTAAAAACCAGTCAACAAAGATAATCTAGCCAGAGGCATTCTACCATATTTTCACATTCTCCTACGTATTTTGGAATGGAAATGGCCTTGATTATTCTATGGGATTGCTCTTGCTCAGCAAAGCAGAAGGTCTGATCCTGTTGATTCCCTAAGAGCTCTCAGTATCATAGTGAGGACCATGGTACTGTTCCAGACAAGATTTCAGGCTTGGGCATTGTACATATTGGACAGAATCCTGTTGGCACAGCTCCATATGCATAAGGCTGATGATGTTATCAGCCAGGACCTTTAATTTTTGTTTATGTTTCCTCCCCACCCCATTTTACCAGATTCTGAAACCTCCCAGATATCTCTTTTGACCTGAAGAAGTCTTCGGGATCCTCAGTACAGAGAGGAGCCTTTGATCTCCAAAAATTGCCACCAGTCTGGTAGGAGGACTGGCCACGGCAATTTCTGGACATTAAAGGTGTTGGTTCCTCCTGTCCCAAGGACCCCAAAGGCTTCCCTAAGTCAAAAGGGATCAACAGGGAGCTTCAAAACATGGGATGAACAGGAAACTTTTTATTTTTAAACAAAGGCCATGGCTGATGACCTTATTAGCTTTACGCATGCAGAGCTATACCAAGAACAGGATTCCAGGCATTGTACCACAATATCAACGGATATTAATGTTAATAGGGGCTAATGAGAATAATCCTATTACAATACGTCTGTGTGAGTTACACTAGCTTCCACTCTATTTCCATGGCCAGTTCAAAGGTCTTCTGGTCTGTTTGTACACCCAAATTGATATTTAAAGCTCTAACACACTTGCAAGAACACACACACATTTAAACTCTTCTTCAGAGGCCCTTTTCCAGATTGTCTCACCTAATGAAGTACATACCAAAAGGTGGCTCTTGATGTTGATCATGGAATGCCCTCCCTAGACCAATTTACCTGCCCCCTTTGTTAGGAAATTAAGAGGTGGAGACATTTTCATTTTCTCAGGTTTTTAGTGTCTTTGAAATCTGGAAACACATTATTCTGCTCCACTCCCCTGGATTTTATGCTACAGTTGCATTAATGTTAGGCTGCTCTGTGTTGGTATTTATGCCCATTTTACAATAGGCTTCAGCTTTTATATGAATTGTTTTTAGTATAAACTGATTGCATGTTGTTAATCATATGCCGTGAAGGAAAATTTTACTTTCTTGGACTGTGACTGGCCAGGCTGCCTGGAATATCCTGGGATTTACAGACCCAAAAAGAACATTTTCCAAATCTCTGATGTTAGTGCTTAGCCTGGAGGCTTACATTGAAGGGAATTACTCAGAGTATTTGATTAAATGAGTGGTCCAGAAATGCTATAAATATACGTATAAACACAGAAGTTGCTTTTTGGGGAGTAGAGGAACCTCTCTTGAAATCCAAACCACACCCTGCAAAAGTTCTTTCCACAAACCATGACAAGAGGGCAGCCAGGTTTCTTTCTCTGAGAAAGGAGAAGGAGGGTTAAACTGGGCACAGCATGCTGATTCATGTTTTTTACAGTGGCAGGATAAACTTTCTGCCTTTCTTACCACAAGAGGGGAACGGATGATGCTGAAAATCATCTGTTTTGAAATGACACCTTCTATTTGAAATAAGTGAACACTTCTGCCCCTTTCCTAGTGGGATAGCTGTGTCAGTCTCTTGGGGCAAAAATCACAGCCCACTTCATCTGGTGGATGAAACATTATCCAGATTGTAAAATATATGTACAGTGTACACACACACACACACACACAGAGCCCACTTTCTCTGAGGGAAGAAACATTATCCAGATTGTAAAATATATGTACAGTGTACACACACACACACAAGACTGAGTGATCTAAGAGCAATGAGGTCAGAGAGAAATTACTGCCAGTAATCATTACATTATTATCACTCCTAGTTAAGACTGTTCAAATACCGAGGTAGTAGGTGTCTCTCCTTATCAAAGCTCGGGAGGGAGGGAGGACTTTGGAAGACAGCAGGATAGGAATGATGCGAAGGGAAGAGTCATGTGCAAACACACCTCATAAGCCATTAAAAATCAAGTGTCAGTTTAATCCACTAATTTGCATTACAGCTCCCCTTTGAAGGTTTTAGCTCTATTTATATTAAACCACCCATCGTCTCAAGGATGTCTTTGATAAGAGGAACAGTAATCTAACCATTATGGGGATTATAACTAATACATTGGAGTATACTTAAGTTTCCCTCTTTAAGACTTCTCTTTTCAGTTCTGTCCAGTGTTCTTAAAGTAGAGGTAGGAAATGTGTGATCCCAAACTCCCCAATATTGCCCCTTATGCTCACCGCAATGAAAAACTTTCAACATGGAAAATTTCAGTTGCTCCTTCAGAAACTTCCAGAGGGTGAAATTGGCTAGTTAAAGGGGATTTTGCCCTTCTCTCCTACTGTTTTTGGCTCCAGCTAGGGTTTTTCTCCCCCAAACTGGATCTCTTGGTCACAAGTTTTGATTGAAAAAAGATGGAGAAATACCGCTGAAGTCCCACCAAAATGAAAACTGGATAGGGGCCCCATCTGTCTTAAAGCAATAAAATGCTTTTTCTTCAAGAGGTGTGCTTTTGTGTCTGTGCTTGTATTTCTACAAAGCAAAGGTGGGCAACTTCAGCACCTTGAGACACCAATTTTTGCCCCCAGAACCCAGTAGGCAATGAAGCAACGCTGAAAATGGTCAAAGAGTATGAAAACTCAAAGCCAAAAATTACTGAAGTCTACTTTCAACTTCATTTTTGTGAATGCATGTTCAATGGGTTGAAGGCACTGTATTCTGTTGTATTACAAAGCCACCAGTTTTATAAGCTTCCAAGAGTGGGAAAAGACTTTTTTCAGACATTTCCCCCTGCCACATTCTGGGCACTGGATATACCTAAGTGGTTTACCCGTTACTGTACTTCTTCTACAGGTGCTCTGGAAATGCTGAGCTCACCCAAGGCTGCATATGCTGGCTCTTTTTCCTGTGAGGCACAGTGGGGAATAGTAGGGTGTGTCTTTACCGCAAAATACCACATGATTTTCATCAGAGTTGAAATGGTTAGAATCAAATCGTTATCCCATGACTGCACAATGTAAACTAATCACCCTGAAACCCACACTTTTTTCAGTGACATTTGTGTCTTTTTGTTCAGCTGTCAGGGATTTGTTTATTTTGTATTGATTCAGCTGCATGACTTACTGCCCTTTTCTGGCATGTGTGATTGCTTATCTCAATCCAGAAAGGGAGAGTTGAAATGGTTAGAATCAAATCGTTATCCCATGACTGCACAATGTAAACTAATCACCCTGAAACCCACACTTTTTTCAGTGACATTTGTGTCTTTTTGTTCAGCTGTCAGGGATTTGTTTATTTTGTATTGATTCAGCTGCATGACTTACTGCCCTTTTCTGGCATGTGTCATTGCTTATCTCAATCCAGAAAAGGGGGTTGGGGGTTGGGCTGTACCCTACAGTGATATTGACAGTAATCTCTTGAGTGGGGCACAGTATGCCATTACATTTGGATTTT